GTTCTTCAGCCACTGGAGTCTCGTGGATTTGATCTCTCTAAGGATCATAAGAATGAGCAGGTTTCTAGCAAAGATCAAGTGTTACAACTTACGCGAGAAGAAGAAAAGGAGATTGGAGATGTTGGGTGGAAGCCATTCTTGGATTATCTTTATCTCTCCAAAGGATCATTGCTTATGTCTCTGATCATTTTAGCACAGGTGGCTTTTATTGGTTTGCAAGCAGCATCAACCTTTTGGCTTGCTCTGGCCATTGAAGTACCAAAAGTAACAAATGGCATCTTGATTGGGGTTTACACATTAATCTCACTTCTAAGTGTTGGCTTTGTGTGGCTAAGATCTATCATGGGGGCCCACCTTGGATTAAAAGCTTCTGCTTGTTTCTTCTCTGGTTTCAATAATGCTATCTTCAAGGCTCCTATGCTGTTCTTTGACTCAACCCCCAGTAGGAAGAATTTTGACCCGAGTGAGATGACTTTATTTCCAACTATATTGGTTAATTAACTTATATAATTTCCTTCTATTCATTGATAAACATTAAATTTAGCTAATCATTGTAGAAATGAATGTGAAATCTTCCTCTCTTGCAGGCTTCGTCAGATTTGAGTACGTTAGACTTTGATATACCTTATGGACTCACCTTTTCAGCAGGTGGTGCAATAGAACTTCTGACAATAATTGCAATAATGGTTTCAGTCACGTGGCAAGTACTTATTGTTGCAGTTCCCGCCTTAATAACTTCCAAATACATTCAGGTTTGTCCATTCCCTCGTTTTCTTTTTGTTGATTTCATATTCTGCCTCTGTTAAAATGAAGCTTATAACGACATTTTTGGTTGAAAGGGCTATTACCAAGCCTCTGCTAGGGAACTAATGAGAATCAATGGAACCACCAAAGCTCCGGTTATGAATTTCACCGCGGAGACATCATTAGGAGTGGTGACTGTGAGAGCTTTCAACATGGCAGATAGATTTTACCAAAATTACCTCAAGCTTGTGGACACAGATGCAAAACTATTCTTTCATTCTAATGTGGCCACAGAATGGTTAATTTTAAGGATTGAAATACTTCAGAACTTGACACTCTTCACGGCAGCTTTGCTGCTTGTTCTACTTCCAAAGGGACTTATGCACCCAGGTAACAGTTTTATGAGAAATTAATTTATCTTTCTTTTTAAGCATTTATTTTATTTTATTTTATTGTAAATATACTAATAATTCTTGACATGTATTTTGGGTGCAGGCCTTGCAGGACTCTCTCTATCATATGCTTTGTCATTGACAATATGCGTAACTTTTATGAGTCGTTGGTTCTGCAACTTATCAAATTATATTGTTTCCGTTGAAAGAATCAAACAGTTCATTCACATACCAGAAGACCCACCTGCAGTTGTGGAGAACAGAAAACCTCCACCTTCATGGCCTTCCAATGGTAGGATTGAGCTTCAAAACCTTGAGGTAACAGAAACTGATCATATGTTTTTTCAAAGACCATCTCTTTTTATAATGTAGATAAATGAGTATGTCACTACGTTATTGATTTCAGATAAGGTATCGTCCAAATGCTCCATTAGTCCTTAAGGGAATCACTTGCGCATTCAAAGAAGGGAGTAGAGTGGGAATTGTAGGGAGGACTGGGAGTGGGAAAAGTACACTAGTAAGTGCTTTGTTTCGATTGGTTGATCCTGCAAGAGGTGATATTCTTATAGATGGGATCAGCATATTACCAATGGGGTTGAAGGATTTGAGGATGAAGCTGAGCATTATTCCTCAAGAACCCACTCTTTTTAGGGGTAGCATTAGAACCAACTTGGATCCTCTTGGCCTCTACTCTGACGAAGAAATCTGGGAGGTAAAGATTTAAGGAATTGCCTTTACAGTTTAAAGAATACATACTATATATATAATCCGATTATGTTCCACATGAGCTTCACAGCAAGTTCTTGTTTCATGTCTACTGTATTTGTTCACAGGCTTTAGAGAAATGCCAGCTCAAGTCAACAATCAGCAGGCTACCCAATCAATTGGACTCTTCTGGTGAGTTTGATTCAAGAACTTGACGCTTGGAATCTGACGTGTATCTATATATGGAAACAACTCTGAGCAGATTACTAAGTACCATGCTCAGTAACGTAGCTCAAATGTTATGTGAAGACTTTTGATTGGTTTTATTAATATTTTTAACTTTCTCAAACAAAAGCTTTTTCACCTTAAAATGTTAACTAAGAATATACCTACTGTCTTTATATTCGCAGAAATAGTTCGAACTCAGGGTGTCTTAGATCTGGAGGCTTAGATACTACTTTATCTCAAACGATTATTTTTATATGTAATAACTCTAATTGGTGCTAGCATTCAAAGCTATATTTTGTCCTTGTCAAATCTAACAAAGATTTGAGATGCAATGACTAAACTGATGTAATATGAAAATTTTGACAGTGAATGATGAAGGTGAAAATTGGAGTGTAGGACAACGTCAGCTCTTATGCCTAGGAAGAGTACTTCTGAAGCGAAATAAGATTCTTGTTCTTGATGAAGCCACTGCTTCCATTGATTCTACCACAGATGCCATCCTGCAGCAAGTTATTAGACAAGAATTTGCAGGGTGCACAGTTATAACTATAGCCCATCGAGTCCCAACTGTAACAGACAGTGATATGGTTATGGTCCTCTCTTCTGGTATGTTTAATCTTCTTCTTCCTCCTCCTTTTTAACTTTAGGATATATCAACATGATTTAACAAGTGAATTAAAGAGAAGCAACTGGTTATCTCTTACAGACTGGCCAATATCTTCTTTTACTTCTAAGTTTCTTGTTCTCCCAAGAAAATTCAGATACTATCACTTCCTATTTTCGTCTGAAATTTTTTTTGGCCTAACATTTTTTTTTTTTTCATTTTTTGAATTTGCTATTTGCATGAATGCAGGGAAAGTGGTGGAATATGATGAGCCTTCAAAGCTTATGGAGACAAACTCTTCTTTCTCTAAACTTGTTGCTGAGTATTGGTCCAGCCGCAACCAGAACCGCTCCTAAAATATACGAGTCTCTTGTATATGTGTGTATATACATATGCAACTGATCTCTTTAATCAATTAAGGGGATCTAAGTTGATGAACATAATAAATTAAATAAACATTTTTCAAAAGTATAATTAAAAGATCCTTCATTTTCCAGAAATCACGTCATTTTTAATTGACTTAATGACATTTGGTTTTCACTCTACATTTTATTCTTTTTTTCCCCTTCTTTTTTTTTTTTTTGGGCTAATGCAACATCAGTTAAAGAAGTGAAAATACTATATATAATAATCAGTAAACACGAAAAGATTCCTAGCGTGAAATTTTAAATTAATATATAAGGTTAATGATTAAAAGATTCCAAAACGAGCTACTATACATCAATAAACATGAAAATAACTGTGTGCATCCAAAAATTGAAAAGGAAATTCAAAGTAAATAAATAATGCCATCTCTGTCTTCGATAGTGCTGGAGTTTTTGTCAGATGACTAGGATTCCATGTCGTTATGTAAATTAAACGATGTTTACGGCCTAATTAGGCGACTTTAATCCGTGTTTAAAGTTTAATTCAGATTGTCTATGCTTATCAATTTGTATTAGGTGTGACGTGGAGAGGCCATTACGGCCAAATGCATTTAATAAATAAATCATTAAATATAATCTAACAATGAGAAGCTTGCAAAAATTATTACATAGCGTTTTCGATTTTCCAATTTTTTTAATTAAGAAAATGGGTGACATTAAGAATTTTGGATCGTCTGCATAGCAGAGCTTTGCAAAGAGAGTACAAGTATGATTAGTGAAACTCATGGGTCATTTTTACTTGACACTCTTTAGAAAGATCCAAATTAGACAATAATTAATGAGAAAAAGAAAGAAAATTATATATGTAATTGTGTATCATGCTAATTATTTATTATTATTATATTAACAAAAAATTAATTATTTAGTAATCATGGATAAACTTTTGTAATAGGTTTCGATATTTTAAAAATTTCTACATATTTTAAAAATTCCTATCTCATCCTTAAAATATTTGAAGTTTATAAAAATTAATTTCTATAATTAAATAGTACATTTTCCTCAAAAACAATTTCATGATTAGCTTTATGTGTAATTGTAGCTAAGGTAGAAAGATGTTAATTCTTTCTTAATTAAAAGATTTGTTTTGGTCTTAAATATAGGACATTAATATTATTTATCTCCTTCATTTAATATTTTTTTCATAGATTACTCTCATTAATTTCATAGTTTTTCACTTTTTCTTATTTCTCTCTCCTACGTTTTATACTCCCTCTCTCTCTCTTCGGGGTATTTAAATAACACATGTTTTTCATGCAATTGTAGCTCACTTAATAAATTTTCTTAATCTTTATGAATTAGTTAACTAGGCTGTACATTTAACATTGGATGGAGGATATAATAAGGAAAGGCATCAGCAAATGAGATCTTCCGGTCCAAAAATTTGGCTAAAAAGGGGTCACGTTGTAATGAACACAAAAGAAAATCCAAATTGGATCGAAAATACAAAAGACAAAAGCATGTTGTCCTCATAACAAATGCAGCTGAATACCACAGTTAGCTCATCTCTCATTCCACCTTCACAATAAAAACATTGTATCATTATATATAAAAAGAGTGAACATTGATTTAAACCAAAGATAAATGTAAAAGCCAAAGGTCAAATTCGTTTCTGCCTCTGGTTTATCCACCAATCAAGTGTGGCATCAACAGGAATGATGACGGGCTGCAAACGTGACTGGAAGTTTTTAAGGCACTAGAGGCAAGTGCTTCTGTGACTCCATCATTGAAGCCTAAGAGCTGCAAAAACATCAAACCTTTGAAACTCCAAAAATGGCCAACTTAGCAGGTCCAACAGGTATGTTACACTTTGCTAATTCTTTTTTGCTTTTATATAAATTCAGACTATGGAAGGTACTAAATAACTAATTACTTCTAAAAATGTTCGATGGGTTTTCGCTTCTTTTCACGCTATGACATTCTTGAAGAGAGTTATGTCTGTAATGTGTTTGATGTATGTCAAGAAAAGACAAAGCGGCAACAACAAGCCTTCTCACCTTGTACAAAATGATAACACACTCTTTTGATTGGATGTGCAGGGGGTTTCTCATGGATAAGTCTCAGAGATTTTGATTTCACTTCCTTTTGCACTCAAAGGAGCATCATAGACACCGTGAATCTTCTCTTTCTCTGTGCCTTTTACATATCCTTGCTTTGCAATTTTATCAGAAAAAACAATGCAAGTGACAGCCACAGAAAAGGATGGGTTTGTTCGGTAGTCTCAGTCTGTTGTGCTCTCATAAGCATTGCATATTTCGGTAATGGTCTGTGGTGTCTTATTGCCGAATCTGAAGACTTTAGGAAGCTGAGGTGGTTAATTTATTTTTTCAGAGGACTAGTCTGGATTTCTCTATCAGTTTCTTTACTTGTTCAGAGATCTAAATGTTTACAAGTTCTAAACCTTGTTTGGTGGGCCTCTTCATGCACACTTGTTTCAGCTCTCAATATTGAGGTTCTGTTCAAAGGGCATAACATTCAAATACTTGATATGGTTCAATGGCCTGTGCATTTTTCACTTGTTTTCTGTGCCTTCCGAAGCCTCTATTTTGCACCTCAAAGCAGTCAAAATAATACTATGTCACAGCCTCTTTTATCTCAAAAGGATGAAAATAAAGAATCAAAACTTGCACGTGCCAATTTCCTCAGCAAATTGACTTTCTCGTGGATTAATTCCTTACTGAAATTGGGCTATTCAAAGCCATTGGATCTGCAAGACATCCCGTCTCTTGTGTCTGAAGATGAAGCTTCTTTAGCCTACCAAAATTTTTCTCATGTATGGGATTCCCTTTTGAGGGATAGAAGCAAAAACAACAGTACTAAAAACTTGGTTATGTGGTCCATATTAAGAGTTTACATGAAAGAGAACTTTCTCATAGGAATCCTGGCATTGCTTAGGACAATTTCTGTGGTAGTTTCTCCTTTGGTGCTCTATGCTTTTGTTAACTATGCAAATAGTGAAGAGGAAAATCTAAAAGAGGGTCTTGCCATACTGGGTTGTCTGATTATATGCAAGGTCACTGAGTCTTTGCCTCAAAGGCACTGGTTTTTTCGATCGAGAAGGTCAGGAATGAGAATGAGATCAGCTCTAATGGTGGCAATATATAACAAGCAGTTGAAGCTTTCAAATGCAGCCAGAAGAAGACACTCAACTGGGGAGATTGTGAATTACATAGGAGTTGATGCATATAGAATGGGAGAATTTCCATGGTGGTTTCACACTACATGGACTTCAGTAGTACAGCTTCTTCTATCTATTGGGGTTCTATTTGGTGTTGTTGGTCTTGGTGCTCTTCCTGGTTTAGTCCCCATTTTGATCTGTGGGTTTCTTAACATGCCCATTGCAAAGATCATCCAAAGGTGTCTGTCAGAATTTATGGTTGCACAGGATGAACGTCTAAGGTCAACTTCAGAGATCTTAAATAATATGAAAATCATAAAGTTGCAATCTTGGGAGGAGAAGTTCAAGACCTCGGTAGAAACCCTACGGTCCAAAGAGTTCAAGTGGCTGGCTAAGGCTCAGTTCATAAAAGCTCATGGATCATTTATCTATTGGATGTCTCCATTGATTGTTTCCTCTGTAATCTTCCTTGGATGCGCTCTTTTGGAAAGTGCCCCTTTAAATGCTGGAACCATATTCACTATTCTTGCTACTTTGAGGAGCATGGGTGATCCTGTTAGAATTATTCCAGAGGCTCTTTCTGTTATAATCCAAGTTATGGTCTCGTTCGATCGTCTCAATGCCTTTTTGCTTGATGATGAGCTTAGTGATGATGTCACTGGAAGAAACTTAATGCAAAATTCAGTTAATAGCGTGGAAATGCAAGCAGGTAACTTCAGTTGGGATTTGGAGTCGATGTATCCAACTTTGAGAGATTTGAATGTAAAAATCGAATGGGGACAGAAAATTGCAATTTGTGGACCAATTGGAGCTGGAAAATCATCCTTCATATATGCAATACTTGGCGAGATACCCAAAATTTCAGGAACTGTGAGTTGAGAATTATTCATTTTACCTTCATCATCATCATCATCATCAAATTATTAAATTCTTGGATGCATTCCAAGTTGCAACATGTATGCTTTCTTCTTTGTGTCCTACCTTTTGGTTTTTGATGAAGTTTATAATTATAGTACCATATTCTTTCATTTCCCATTTTATAATTAGTTTTATTGCATGGCTCATATGATTATTGGACATACCAATCTCAAATGCTAGGGTTTGAATTTTGAAGCCTTACCTTTTGAACGCTATTAATTAATTTCAGATTTTCATCAGATAACTCATGTACTAGCATTTAGGAGTATGACACTCCCAAAGTCCACATAACATGGATGATTAAATAAAAGATGTTTACCAGTTTTTTTTTTCCTTTTTAAATGATAACTAAAAGCAGGTTAAGGTGGGTGGAAGTATAGCCTATGTTTCTCAAAAATCTTGGATCCAAAGTGGGACAGTTCGCCATAATATACTCTTCGGCAAACCGATGGATGAAACCAGATATGAGAATGCCATAAAAGTATGTGCCTTGGATAAGGATATCAATGCCTTTAGCCACGGTGATCTTACAGAAATAGGTCAGCGAGGGACCAACTTGAGTGGAGGACAAAAGCAAAGGATTCAACTGGCTCGTGCGGTATATAATGATGCTGATGTTTATCTATTAGACGACCCTTTCAGTGCAGTGGATGCGCATACTGCTGCTATTCTATTCAATGTAACAAGAAATTTTTTCAGATTCTTACAATTATGATAAAACTCTGGGCCTCCTTTTAGTATATTAGTCTTAGTTTCTTTCATGTAATTACAGGATTGTGTCTTGAATGCTCTGAAGAAGAAAACTGTAATTCTAGTGACTCATCAAGTGGAGTTTCTCTCACAAGTTGATAAAATTCTCGTCATGGAGGGTGGAGTAGTTACTCAATCAGGATGTTATGAAGATCTTCTGACAGAAGGGACAGCCCTTGAACAACTTGTAAATGCCCATAGAGAAGCAATATCAGGGGCAGATCAAAACAATGAGATCCCAGGGGAGTTTGAAGATGTGATAAATGTTCTTCAGCCATTGGAGTCTCATGGATTTCATCTCCCTGAAGATCATAAGACTGAGCAGGTTTCAATGAAAGGTCAACACGGATTACAACTTACACAGGAAGAAGAAAAGGAGATTGGTGATGTTGGCTGGAAGCCATTTTGGGATTATATTTATCTCTCCAATGGATCATTGCTTCTGGGTTTGATCATTGTAGCACAGGTGGCTTTTATTGGTTTACAAGCAGCATCAACTTTTTGGCTTGCTCTAGCCACTGAAGTGCCAAAAGTAACTAATGGCATCTTGATTGGGGTTTACGCAATAGTTTCACTTATAAGCGTTAGTTTTGTGTGCATAAGATCTATCATGTGTGCACATCTTGGATTAAAAGCTTCTGCTTCTTTCTTCTCTAGTTTCAATAATGCTATCTTCAAGGCCCCTATGCTCTTTTTTGACTCAACCCCAGTAGGAAGAATTTTGACCCGAGTAAGATGACTTCATCTCCAACTATGTTGGCTAATTAATTTATATAAATTCGCATTATTCATGGAAAAACATTAAATTTAGTTAATCATTCTACAAATGAATGTGAAATCTTTCTCACTTGCAGGCTTCATCAGATTTGAGTATATTGGACTTCGATTTACCTTATGCACTCACCTTTGTAGCAGCTGGGGCAATAGAACTTCTGACAATAATTGGGATAATTGTTTCAGTCACGTGGCAAGTACTTATTGTTGCAGTTCCCGCCTTGATAGCCTCTAAATACATTCAGGTTTATCCATTCCCTCATCTTCTTTTTTTTGATTTCTTATTTTGCCACTGTTATAATGAGGCTGATTATTACATCTCTTTCGGTTCAAAGGGCTATTATCAAGCCTCTTCTAGGGAACTAATGAGAATCAATGGAACAACCAAAGCTCCGGTTATGAATTTCACCGACGAGACATCATTAGGAGTGGTGACTGTGAGAGCTTTCAACATGGCAAACAGATTTTTCCAAAATTACCTCAAGCTTGTGGACACAGATGCAAAACTATTCTTTCATTCTATTGTGGCCGCAGAATGGTTGATTTTAAGGATTGAAGTACTTCAGAATTTGACACTATTCACAGCAGCTTTATTGCTAGTTCTACTTCCAAAGGGGCTTGTACCCCCAGGTAACAGTATTATGAGAAATTAATGTATATTCCATCTTAAAGCTCTTGTTTATAAGGTTGTTAATATGCTAATAATTCTTAATATTTATCGTGTGCAGGCCTTGCAGGACTTTCTCTATCATATGCTTTGTCATTGACAGGATGCCAAATTTTTCTTAGTACTTGGTTCTGCAATTTATCAAATTATGTTGTTTCCGTTGAAAGAATTAAACAGTTTATTCACATACCAGAAGAGCCTCCTGAAATTGTGGAGGACAGAAAACCTCCACTTTCATGGCCCTCCAAGGGTAGGATTGAGCTCCAAAATCTTGAGGTAACTAAACAAATTATACATCATTTTAAAGACTTGTTCCCTTTTTCATATTTAAATGTATGAGTTGGAATCTGATCATTGTTCTTTTCAATATTTTGAATTCAGATAAGGTATCGCCCAAATGCTCCATTAGTCCTTAAGGGAATTACCTGTACGTTTACAGAAGGGAGTAGAGTGGGAATTGTAGGGAGGACTGGAAGTGGGAAAAGTACACTTGTAAGTGCTTTGTTTCGCTTGGTTGATCCTGCAAGAGGTGATATTCGTATAGATGGGATCAGGATATTACCAATGGGTTTGAAGGATTTGAGAATGAAGCTGAGCATTATTCCTCAAGAACCCACTCTTTTTAAGGGTAGCATTAGAACCAACTTGGATCCTCTAGGCCTCTACTCTGACGATGAAATATGGAAGGTAGAATGAATCAGTGAATTACCTCTACAGTGGAAAAACATATAACTAATTAAATCTCATTATGTTCGACATTAGATTTATTCTGAGTTCAGATTTGATGTTTACTATATGATCATTATTACAGGCTTTAGAGAAATGCCAGCTCAAGGCAACAGTCATCAATCTACCCAATCTACTGGACTCTTCTGGTGAGTTTGATCCTGAAACTTGATGCTTGCAATCTGATACATATGGATATAGATATAGAAGCAACTCTTGAGTAGTTACTAAAATGGCTTGTAAGAATAATTGCAAATAACTGATTCAACTTTTAAAATTTTAGTTTGCTAAGTAAAAATGCGAGGTTGATCTTAGAAGCTCACGTAATAGATAACATTGCACCTGGAAAGTTTATACTATTTTTATTTGTGACTTAAACCATATTTAAGCAATTGGAGCTATATTTTCGTGTTACAAAATTTCAAATTAAGTTGTGAGATGCAAATGTAACTGAATAACCATCATTCTGAAAATTTCAACAGTGAGTGATGAAGGAGAAAATTGGAGTTTGGGACAGCGCCAACTTTTTTGTCTTGGAAGAGTACTTCTCAAGCGAAATAGAATTCTTGTTCTTGATGAGGCCACTGCCTCCATTGATTCTGCCACTGATACCATTTTGCAACGAGTTATCAGACAAGAGTTTGCAGGATGCACAGTTATAACTGTGGCTCACAGAGTTCCAACTGTTATAGACAGTGATATGATTATGGTTCTCTCTTATGGTATGTGAGTCAGTTGTTTCTCTTGATTTTCATATACTAAGCTTTTCTAAGAATGTTTTACAGATGCCTGCTACTTTACTTTGTGACATAGTCAATTGGCTCCAGCATGTCTTCAGGTCCCAAGATGTTGGTATCTCTAAGTGTATCTGTCCTGTGTTCACTTTAAGAGGATAGTGAATTAAGTTGATTTGAGCAAATTAAAAAAAACTAAATAAACTACTTAATCTTGACAAATGTGACTTGTTCTCCCTAAGATGCTCTTATATGGCATTAGATTATATATTAGTTTATAAGTTCTATCAATTACTTTGGAAGTAAATTATAAATATGAGAGATAAAATGGATTAAGGTCTTACGTTTAGAACCAAAACTGACTCCCTAATTAAATCCTATATTTAAGACAAGAGGAATAATAAACAATTTTATCTGTTGGGATGATGAGACAAATAGACAACAAATAGCTTGGTCTGTTTTAGAGTTCTCATATGATAAGAAATAGAAGAAGAAAATAAACTGTTATGTCTTGTGTTCGTGTGAATGTAGGGAAAGTGATGGAATATGATGAGCCTTCAAAGCTAATGGAGACAAACTCTTCTTTCTCTAAACTTGTTGCTGAGTATTGGTTCAGCTGCTGCAAGAACTTCTCCCAAATCCCAAATCATTAACAGGCATCATCTGCAAATAATAACACTGAGGATTGGCAAAGAACATTAATTAGCAGCACAAAATAAGTTACGTATATATTACTTCTGTAAAATTGCATGTTTGTACATTTATTTTCCTCCCTTGCCTTCTTTTCTTCATCTTCTGCTTTTTGTATTGCAAAAGAGTAGTTTAGCCTCTTTTGCATTTTTATTGTGGATTAACATCTTTTTTTTTTTGTTGCCAACAGGCTTAACAATAGTCAGTGGTTAGATTATAACATAATAATCAAAGCTTACATTATAATTTTTTAAAGAATGTACATCTCACTATTTTTTAAACCTCAACTTATATTTTAAAATTTTAATAATATTTTGTTTGGTTTAGAGGGCGAGGGGAGGGAAGCTGAAGTTAGTTTATTTTCATTTTCAGTATTGATTTGATTTTAGAAGTAATTATATTATTTTAACAATATCGATACTATTCCTTATACTAACAAATTTTTTTAAAGAATCAATATATTGATATTATAATTTATCAATACATATTTAAAAAATATTGAATTAGCACAGTTTTTTCCCGTAAAAGTTAGCATTGGATTTTATTGGGCAATAAAATTTATCTTAATACGGAAGTGTAAGAGACGAGGCATATTTTTTAATATTAAGGATAGTTCAAAATTTTTAGAATAATATAGGCGCGACTTGTTTGAAAATACTTTCTCTACTTGCCCCCTTTCAGAAATATCTTTAAAATATACAGAGCAATTTACAAACTAAGTAAAACTTTCAGGATCAAAATTTTAATTTTTTTCTAGTTTTGTGAAATATTGTGAAAGATCAGAAAAATTAGGAAAAATTAATATGTAGGTTACTATAGTGTAAACTAATTTTTAATTAAGTTTTTGTAATTTGTTTTCTTTTTAACATGTCCTTATAACTTTTTAGTCAAATCCTTATAGATTATAAATCCATTTTAAAGACCACAGAGACGTGATTAAAAGTTAGGTCAAATGATATGGAAGTGATAAAATAAAATAAAAAACTACAAAAACTTCATTAAAAATCAGATAAAACTATATAAGGACTTGATAACAAGAAAAGGCCTACAATGACCTTATTAAAAATTAGGTGAAATCATAGGGACCTGCAAATTAATTTCATTAAAAATTATAATCAAATTGAAAGACAAAAAGAGATATAATTAACCATTATATCATTATTTTAAAAACATCATCTCCTTTTGTTCTTTTTTTCCCTTACCCCCTCTTTCTTCTTTTCTCCTTTCTAAATGAAAGATGACCCCAAAAAAAAAAAAACCCAATATTGAGACGTGTCCATGAAGATTTTGAAGTGTGAAACTAATAATCGTTCAAACTTTGTATTTTAGGATAAAAATCATGAGAGCATAATAGGCAACTAAAATTTTCTGAATTTTTAACTCAATTTAATCCGGCCTTAAAAAGTTTTTATCTGGGGAAAAAAAAGAAGAAGAAATAAAGTATCCCAATTCATTATGAGATATTGACATATATTGATACCTCATCAAATTTCTAGTCCTATTTTCATCCCCACCTATGGTGGTTGTGGCAAGAGGTCATGTCTATTTTTGAAATGGTACATAAAATGTATATAGCTACTTGATAATGCATATAAAAAGAACTTGTCATTGGATCACTAATAAAGCGAACATCACTAATATAATATAATTAATTTAATAATTAATCAATTCTGGCAATCTTTGGAAGAAAAATCTTTTGACCAGAGATATATATAAATCTGTGTGGATGGACTTTGATGATTGCAATATTTAAAGCAAGTGGATTGTACGTCAGAAAAAGGAAAAGCACATAAGAGAGTACTAAACAACAAAGGGCAACCACAATTTGGTGAAAAATGTGTATAATGATATCTATATATATATTAAAAATAGTTAAAAGTGGGTTTATAGTGCATGACACTCTCACTAGTTACAAAGGCTTTTCCAAATTAAATTTGCTTCTGCTTTTAACAACAATGCCAACTGAATTGGATGTCCTTTTCTGCTGGGAAAGCAAAGGGAAAATGACAGATAATTCAAGAAATTTAAAGGAATGATAATTAGGACCAATGGATGATGAATTTGATTTTAACTTGAGACCAAGACATTGTCAAATTGCAAATGTTCATGACCTTTTTTGGTTCTTTAAGAATCAAATGAATCTGTGGAATTGAGTTAATGATCCTTCCCCTAATGAAGTTACTTAACTTAATTGGCTAAACAAGTTTTTAAGATCTTCAAATATCTCCGCACCAAAACTTATTGGCTTGACAGGTTTTTCAATGTTAAATTTAAAACATAAGTTGCAAATTATTCTCGTGGTTTTAAATAGAGGAACTAGTGAAAGAATTTGTTTTTGTGATAAATATAAAACTCTAATCTATCTTATTTTTCAAATTATCCCTATTAATTGTATTTATTAAGAGGATTGGATTTATATAAAAGGTTAGTTTTCAATGCAAATGATTAAAGTGGTATTTTAAAAAATCAACAAATATTTCCTACATATAATCAACTTAATTATTTAATTCTTATATTTAGAACAGAAAAAGTATGACGTTTTAGTAGTTTTGAAAAGTAATCACAAAATATTTGCATCTAAATTTATTATCTAAACAAGTTTTAAATTTTACATGTTAAAATTTGGAATACAAGTTTGCAATTTTCACATTTTAGGGTTAAATTTCAGAAAGTGATTATAAAATCCTGCAACTAAATTACGCAAGGAACAAAGGACCTAAATTACAATTTTGCTATATCTTTGACTCTAAATGAAAATAAATTCATTTTTTTGGACGAAAATAAATTTATTTATTTGGTTCGCTCGAATTCTTTCCGTACATCATTTCATTGTCAATAAATTTCACGCCATCACAAAAACCAAGGAGTGGTGTTCTAAATATGGGAATACTCTTCATAGAGTTTCACTTTATATATTCTTCAACCTATAAAGGTAAACTTTTCTCTGAGTATGTAACACGTTGGCATATGAAGAAAAGAGAAATTTATTTTATTTATTTCCTGTATTTGATATCCTGATTAAAAGAGATATATTTTTAGAAAATTGATACACATTTTTCACACTATAATAATATAATAATAAGTAACCAACTCAATAAATTTTTTTAAAATCTTCATTAGTTAATTAAGTTTTATATTTAAAATCAGAGAGAGTATTTAATTTCATACCACCACAAAGAAGGAATGGTGTTGTAAATCTGGGAACACCATTCTAAAAATTTATTTTGTCCTTGAACCAAAGGTAAATGGCATATCTCTCCTAATTAGGTACTTTACAGATAGAAGAATTAGAAATTAAATCTTAATCACTTACTTAAATAATGAGAAATCTTGCGAATGTGCAAATTACCCCACACACACACACACACACGCGCAACATTGCAAAAATCTTGATCCTAGAGAGCATAATCTTCTACGCTGTCTCTGTGTCCTTGCTTAATTTTTTAGGGTGGTAAATGGGTACTATAATTAAAGGCAAGAAAAAATCTAGGTTTGAATTTCTTTTTTTTTTAGACACAGATATCTCTTATTGAAAGTAATCCTGTTCGAATCTTACTTCCTTTTACTAGATTTTTCTATTTCTAATTATATATAGCTGAAGGCTTGAAGCTGACACATGCATGAATGTGGAAATAAATACGATATCTGATTGAAATTTTTTGGCCAAAAAATATGATCTGATTGAGATAAGGCCCCCTTTTTCGCGAATCATTGAATTAAAGCCCCCCTCGCTTTTCCCCCCTACGCAGTGCTGTACGTTAGCGTTACCAAAGTCGAGTCATTTTCGCTAAAAAAAAAAAGTATACAAAACATAAATTAGCTAGCCTCAATCATGTTCATATTATTTTGTCACTCTTTTTCTAAAAAAGTTAAAAATTACAATATTCTAATTCAGACATTTAAGAGGTCAAAATTCTAAGAGAGAAAATAATATATAATCTGATATTTTATAAATATAGTTAAATAACAAAAACATCCTTATATGAAAAAGTTTATTAACAAGTTGTGAATTACCAATAACAAGTGTTAAAAAGCAAATAACAAGAAATATGTTAGCAATGGCAAGTTATTTATTAATGAGTTATGAACTGACAAGGAAAAATGTTGAACAAACAATAACAAATAATTTACTGACAATGACAAATTTGATAACTTTTTCTTAAAAAATCTGGTATAAAGACACTTTAGTTATTTGATTATATTTGCAAAATACTAAAGCAGATGCCACTTTCTCCCTTAGGATTATATAATACTCCCCTCCATTCTTTTACTGAGGAGATAGTTAGACAATTTGAACAGATTACATATTAAAGAAGTTAAATAAATTAATTAATTATGTAACACAAGTTTTTCTAAAATATCCTGTTATAATATTATATTATATATTAGCCTATAAGTCAGGTAAATTAATTTGAGAATAAAATGATAAATATGATAAAGTCCACGTGGATTGAGGTTACATATTTAAGATAAAATGTAACCCTTCATTAGTTGATATATTAGGGATTAGGCAAAGTATATGATTATATATATATTTTCTATCATATCATTATAATGAAATGTGTTGCATGTTAATTAAACATGAGATAATTTAGTTAAAGTGTCTTTTATTCGTACAAAACAACGTAAGTTGAAAATTGAAAGGTTATGTGTTCATTACAATGCCCTTAAAGTGTCCTCGAAGGATTATTCCAAATAGCTAAAAACTTTCATTAAGCAACTCTCTATATGGTCCCATTCGCTTAAAACGGAAATAACATATGGTAGAATAATATTTCAGAGGAGGAAAAAAAATGAACTTTCTTGTGCGTTTACTTAAATACTACTCATCCGGTCCTTAATATAAGATTCAATTGTTGAGTTAGTTTTGGTCCTAAATATAATACCTATTTATCATATTTATCAATTTTCTCTAAATTATCCCTATGGATACTCCCTCAACCATAATCAAGTAGAAGATAGAGGGGGTATTAAGAAAGATAATTATGGTGTTTTAGGAAAATTGTGTCATTTTTCTTATAATTAACTAACTTACCTAACTTCTTTAATCTAATCAAATTAGTTAAATGGGTCTTATATTAAAGACCAGAGGAGCATAACGAGAAAATAATTTTGTTTTATTATAAACAATCACACTGGACAGTTATTCTTGACTGTTTCTAATCACACATGCCTAGTTTCCGAACTACAAAACGAACATGTTAAAACCTAGGACCTCGTACAAACATTTCAAGAACCATTCATCACCATTGGACCATGTCCACAGGATTCAAGCTAACGTTACTAACTAACTTTCTCGTCAAGACACCCTAATAGGACATTAAGGTTGCTTGACTTACCCAACTTGCACAGCAAATTGCATGCTTTTATTCATTATTACATTATTTATCCCCCAGATTCATAGAACATATATAGCTTTAATATTCTGCAGAATTTTGCAGAAGCAGAAGGACCGTTAGAAATGGATCGTTGGAAAGCTACTAATTTTTGCTTCAAAATTATATATATATATATATATATATTTGTATATCCCATCTTCTCAGCTGCTAGTTAATGGAGGAACTGGGATGGCTTGAGGCAGGTTCTTAGGAGCATCCATGGGAGTGGGACCCACCATCTTGCAATCAACGGCCATGATTGGAGTCGAGTCCTCAGTACTGCTTTTGTTTGCTTCTTGATGATGAGTGTTGATTATACGGAGCAGGACTTGCCTGAGCTCTTCCCCATCGATCCAACCATGCACCTCTGCTTTTATTCTGTTGCAGTTCTTGGAAACCAGGTCACACAATGCAAAGTTCTTCCTGGGCATTAAGCTATCAGTGTCTTTCAGCTTCAAGCTTGGGCAAAAATCTCCGCTTCCATCTCCAAGATATATGAATTTCTTACTCCCTTCTGCTGCAACACACTTCTGGATCCTTTCTATGATCTTCCCCTAAAGAAGATATATATATATATATATATATATATATATAAAGAACGCATAACTCAATGTCTTCAATGTTTTTCTTTTATTTACAAGAGCAAGCAATAATGTGTTGAGATTACAAGTGAATCAAATCACAACTTTACATTCACATAGAATCTTTCATGCCACAGGACTCCAAGGTCACAGTAATATCTTTAAGGTTTGGAGTTAAGATGTAGTGTCTATCTGAAGGAAATGAAATTACCTTGCACATATTTGGAGGACAAAGGTTGCATCCATGAGAAGATTTATGATAATCATGGTAAGGAAAAATCCTGAGTCTGTCTTCTTCATCAACAAAGCTGGGGTTTGCAATTATCTCTGAGAAACGATCCAACACCCCATGATGCTTCAGAATTGTCTTAATGAAGAAGATATTTGCATCACTAACAATCTTCAGATCACATCTGCAGAACACAGAACACAAGTGTTTGTTTACATGCCGGAAAAAGAATGAAAGAAAATGATGAAACAGAGAAAACAGAGTACGTACCCCAGAGAATAAGCTGCCTCAATTGCAGGAACAATGTGAGGATGAATTGGAGTTCGTTTCAAAATGTGCACAATTTCTTCCATGGGCTTCCCTTGCGAATGGAGCTCCTTCATCGTCTGATCCTGAAAGGTTTCAGAACAAATGAGAACTCAGAATCATTCCAGAAAACAGAGCAACCAGGAAACAATGGAAAAGAAAAGGAACAAAGAGAAGAAGAAGAAGAATAAAACCATAAGGGGATTCCAAGGCGTGTTTTGAAGAAGTTGATAGAACTTTTCAGTTAAACCAAAATGATCAAGCACCCAGTTATCACTATCACACTCAATTATTGTAGAATCAAAGTCAAAAATCACCACAATCCCCGCCATTTTCGACTGCACAGAAATTGATTCTGTGATAAAGAAAATATATTATCAGCTAAATGCTGCTGTGTGAGGGAATGATTGGGATCAGGTCATGGTATTTATAGAGAAAAATCATGAAGGCTTGCACGTAAAAATGATAGAAGTGGGGTCTCCTAGATTCCGGGGAATATTACAATTTACAAGCTTAGTGAGTTATTTATTTATTTATTTTATGGTCAATACTTAGTGAGAATATGAATAAGCTAGTCTTTGTTTTTCTCTCTTTTCTCTTTATTTGTTTCTCTTAACTAATGCTTTGGCCCTTTTCAAAACATATAAATAACTAAATTGTGTAAATTAAAAAAATTGGTCAAAAATTATAAATATGTAAAAGAATGAGCATATCTAACTAATCATGATGAAAAAATTGCTGATGAAAAAACTGAAGCTACATGAGCATGATCAAACCTCAAAACTTCACCGTTTGGTTATTCATTCCAAATGAATTTTCTTTTAGAAACATTTACAGCAAATTTTTTATGAGATCTAAAAAATATATATAATCATTAAAAAAATTTGATAAATGAGTAGTGTAAATGTTATTGTACTTTTTTTATACTAAAACTTGTTATTCATTTATTAGTATGAAACTTTTGACAATTTCATTTTTCTTTAAAATCATGCAATAATTTTCCCAAACATTTGTCATATTTTGTTTGGTATGCTTCATATCCTTTTAGTTTCTACCAAAGAAATAGGCTTCTAAAAAAGGCCTATGCCTTTCTTGATATAACAGAGGAGTGCAGCAATAAATTGTTAAAATTATTCTTTTGAATCTTTTTTACTGTTTACAAGATATTAAGAGCAAAGAATATTATTGTTTACAATATAATCATGATACTGCCATGATATTAAATTTAGGAGTATCTGTCCCAAAGATATTAGTTTCTTTCTAAGTTTTTTTTTTTTTTGGCTTCTTTCTCATATAGGGTAAAAGATATTAGTTACTTTAATAGGTTTAGAGATGCTTTATTTTCCCCCAATTTATTGGAACCTCATAGATTTGTTATTTCTTTTTAATACTATTCCAGTCCTAAATATGAAACTTATTTTATAATATAAATTATACTATAAAATGAGTCTTATATTTAAAATTAGAGAAGTATCATTTTGCCTTTTATTCAAAAAACAATTAGGGATATCTTTTTATCTTTATTCTACTTTTGTGCTTTATTTTTATCTCTCGATTCCGCAAAACCAATTATCATTGAATCATTTTTCCTTTTCATTTCATTCATAATTTCTTTTCCATTTTGTGTCCCTAATTGTTTTGTGAATAAAGTGACAATAAATTTTGATTATCAGAAAGTCTTTAATCCAACCCTTCTTTTATGAAAATAGCTGGGGAGAGATTAAAGTGACAATAAAAAGGGAGGAGATAGCGGAGGCTAATGCAAAGGGGAAGCTGTTTTTCAGAAGAAGAAAAAAACAAGAAGAAGAATAATTAAATACAAGTCCCAATTTTTTAAAAAAAAAAGATTATAGACTCTTGCAATGACAACTAATTTTTTTATTTTGGGCATGTTTGTAATTCTTGAAAAAAAAAAAAAGTTAGTGGCAAAGAAGGTTTTGAGAAATTGCTGATAAAAATGAGAGAATATTTGGGGCAATAATAATTTGGAAATGTCCTAAAAAATGCCTTTTAAATTTCAAAATTTTAAATTAGTTTTATTTACAGAAAAGACTTAAATAATAATTAACTACACTTAAAAAGAAAATCACAACACATTTTTCTAGTAGTTACTAATTTGTTATTCAACAATTTTTAAGGTATTTTATTATCATTTTTTCTAATAATTTGCATAAATTCGGAAATTTCCTCATGTTTCAATAGTTTGGATGCTACCAAAAAAAAAAATGTCTGGTAACTCGTTTAATGAGGCTTGACCTGAATAAGAATATTCTTCCCTGTTCTCATCTGGCCCCTCAAGCCAGGGTTGGGTTAAAAGAATGACCTTTGAAAATGAACTTATAAAGTGAGCACGAGGAGGAATCTGCCCTTCCGAATTTTAGCAAGCTTTCTAATTAAAAATTATACACATAATGAAAATTAAAATTTTTATAAATTTTTATTATTTTTTAAAAAATATTAAAAATATAAATATATATGTATTATATTCGTTATTTTTTTAAAAAAAAAAACTTTCCTTCACATGAGTTATACATTTTCTGATCTGCCATTATTGATTATTTCACCCCAATTGTAAGGACTCAAAAGTTGATTAGCTTTAATAAATATGTTGTTTCATTTTGAATAAAATTATACTCCAAGATAGTAGCATTCCATCTGGTGTACTATTTTTTGCTGAAGACGGTGACCTTTTAACTATTAAAAGGTTAGTCTATATTAAGTTTTCACAAGGATTGAAAATCATTAAAAAAAAATTATTGTTCACATAGGTTATATTAAATTTTTTTTGTTGAGTTTAAAACTATATATTATTGTCTAAAAGTTATTTTGTTGGCATCTATCACAATACTAGTACTATTGGACTGAAGATTCAAGACAATTAATTAATTAATTAGAGTTCACGGATTTTTTTATTTGTTTTTTGTGAAAGAAAATATTTTTCCAAGTGTGATGTTTTTCATTAATCTAAGTCAAAGCTTGGCTTCTAGTTAAACCTTTGATTCTAAGAAAGATGCGCCAAAAGATTAATTTAGCGACAGCTAAGTGTAAACGTCATTATTTATAATTAATTTTCTCTTATTTATAATTTTGTAGAGAATAACTGCAATTATTCTTCCCTAATTGCCATTAAATTAATTTTTTGAAGCCCAATTGTCATTCTTTCGTGACTCAACCACACACTGGAATTTTTCTCCAGAATTTTGAATCAATTTCTTTTTCAAAAAAAATAAAGAATTGAATGTTCTTAGTATGGCAAAAATTAAAAATTAGTGGTTTTAAAATTTAGAAGTTTGATTCGACTAATAATAAATTTTCAAATAAAAATAATATTTTTTTTCAAAAAAGAGAGAGAATAACCACAAATCTGTTTGAATTTCGGTCTAAATTAGTGAACACCATAGGTCTACCTGCTGAATCAAATACTAAGCAGTTGCATTTAACAAGAATTGCTTTAAAAGAATTTTATATAAATGTTCTATTTGCTAAAATGCTGCTCCCTTCTCAGCACAATGTGCATTGTTCATGGCATTATGATTGTTGTTGCTATAAGCTTTTACTTAACAAAAATTGAAAGGATATCAAATCACCTAAAAAATAAAAATAAAAATAAAAATAAAGATTAATTTTTTTTAAAGAAGTTATTATCAAATTTTACCAAACTTTCTATAATTTTTTTAAAAGTACAAGTTCCAAATAAATAGTAACAACTTTTTAGAAATTAGGAATGGTTTTCTAAAAGTGATTAAAATTTGCTAATAACTTTTCTATAAAAATTTATCATGATTTTTATATAATCTTTTATCCTTGAATTTTTAAGATATGAAATTTTAGATATAATTTTCTCTTTAAAAGTATGTGTTGCGACTACTATACCTTGCAAGGAGAGGAATGTCTTCACCAACTTTTCTCTCCATTTTTCCTCCACTTAATATTTTTACCATTAGATCAAATTTCAACGGCTAAGGTTTATTACGTAAAAATGTTATTATAATATCAAATTTTAAATAATAAAAAATAGGTAGATAAATTTATAGTAATAAAATTTGATGTGAATGGTTTGGAAATTGTAAATTTTTATTACATCTAATATTATAATAATATTTTTACTTAGTTTTGAATCTCAATCATTGAAAGTTAATCCAATGATAGAAATATTAAGCGGAAAGGAAGTAAAAAGAAATTCCTTTTTTCGGATGCCAAAAGGGCTTTAAGCCTCAACGGGAGGGTTACACAGAAAGGAGGGCTCGTGAAATGAGATTGGACTTTATGTCCACGGGCCAATAATATCGTAACCCACAAACCCTTTCCTAATGCCATTTGTATTGCCAACTAAAATATCACGTTTGTTCAGATTGAAAAATAGCTTATATTTATTACTCAGAATTGCCTCTAATAAAAAAAAAAACCTGTGCAATTTGTGCTTATCAAGAAAGTAAATAAATATCAATATTTTCCGGTCAAAAAAAAATAAATATCAATATTTGAACTTTTTTTTGCCAACAATATTTAAATTTTGAACACATCTAAAACATTATTCCACTGTCTCCTTTAATTACTTTAATTATTTTTTTACACAGATCAATAAAATTTGACCTAAACTTTCCGTTATCCAAAATTATCGTTAATAGTGAAAGAGGATCAAGAGTGAAGGGCTTGGTGGAACCAAGTGTTGAGAGGAAGAGCTTTGGATCTCAGAAATTATTGTGGGAATCAGGTGAAGCAAAATGGTCTCAAAATCTCTGAGCTTTGAGCAGTGAAGGTCCTTTGCAGTTTTATTTTTTCCAAATTCATATATTTATGGCTTTAGTTTGATTGGACAGTGGGGGAAATTTCTTATGCTGGCTCCTTGTCTTAATTAAACATAAAAGTTTGATTACATATAAAAACTAGTTTTATATTTAATTTGGTTTTATATATAAGATTCCAATCCACTTTGTCTCTCATATTTATCTATTTTTTAAAAATGGTTCTTATAATAGTTGCACATGTTAAAGGTTCCATCAAATAGTTGTTCTAACTAATACACAGAGTATTTTAGAAAAATAATAATATATATTTATTACAAATAACTAATTTAAAAAACTATTTTAATCTACTCAAATTAGTCAACTAACTTTTATATTAACGACTAGAATTAGTGGTTTATAAAAATTAACAAAATTAATTTATTTACATGTTAAAGAAATATGTGTAAAACTCGCTTATATATATAGACAGTAATCCCCACTCTCATCTCCAACGTATCCCATCCTCTTCTTCATTCCCTTTTCTGATATTGATTTTTGGGTCCTCCCTGATTCTACCCTCTAATGTTTTTCACAAATTTGTTGTGATTTTCACAAAATAATCACAATAATTGCTATTAATTAATCATTAATCA